GAGGAATCCGCCGTCGTCTTCTGGTGAAACCGACCTTCGAATCTCTTCACCAAACACTTTCACTCGAAATAGAAGTAAGCTCAAAAACTAAGAATATCTGTCGTGTGGCAGCAAAAAGCTCAGCACACAGTTGCTTTAACCAAAGGAGGATCCCCCAGAGACTAAGTCAACCTAAATATATTCATCACACGCCTTCACTCAAAACAAAGGTCAAGTTAACATTGATAATGAGATTTATATTAAGAGAATTTTGCTCTATTTATATAGCTTTTATTTGACAAACTAAACATGAAAATAACATATATGATCAGATAATAATTTTCGAATGTAGCCCACATAACCAACTATTTGAAGCTCGAACGAAAGTAAGCCATTTATCTTAGATAGATAAAAAATGGTCCATTGGTGTTCAATCACCAACGTGATTTATCGTAATTTTTCTAATTAATTTCCCTTTTTATGAATAAACTTTGGCCTAATCAGGATGAGGAAATACTGTGCGTTGAATGTAAAAGAGATCCTGTTTAAATCGCCTGATTGGCACACAATGCTTCCTTCTATCCCATCAGCAAAAACCCTGTTATAAAAAGTTGAAAAAGCAAACATTAGATCCGCTGATAATTGAATTTTTCTACAATCGCATAAGTCTTACGAAACCAGTGAATTCCACTTCTACAAAAGGAGTTCAAATTCCGAGTTGTTTAAAGTTTTAACCTTGTCTGGGTCTCATCAGCACCCTTTATGGGAATCAAACCTGGGCAATGCATCGCATAGTTTTTACATGTAACCATTACGCTATATTATCACTCTTATTTTGCCATCACAAAAGACTACGCTATTTATACTCATCGTTTAGGACAATCAGAAAGTCTTGAACAAGATTTCAAATTGTCCAAAGGCGAATAAGAAGATGAAGTAAAAAGATTAGCCTATTTAACTTTTTTTGAAAATTAAAATACCTGAAATCCGATCCCGAATATCACTTTGGCATCAGGCCCCCAGAGGCAGCCAAGAAAACCCAGATTCTTGCCTCCGACGTCACCAACTCTTGTCTCCTCTAGCCAGATAGTTGGTACAGTGGGGCAATTCACCTCTTCCATACCAATAGACCCCAGCGATTGCGAAGTTGTACAGTTGGAAATACATGGTGGTTTCCAAAGAACCAGTGATTTGTCCATACTGGCTGAGAGAAGACAAATGTGTTGATAGGGGCTAGAATCGCCAGACTTGTGTCCTGGTGCTAGAGCCCAGGCGACTCCGGTGACCCAATTGTCATGACCCGTGAGCACACTATCCAGACAGACGGTGAAGTTAATATCATCCAAGGAAAACTCTGAAATCTAGAAGATTTATTTTAAAAATTATATGCTACTTAATAAAGTAGTAAGCGCTAATATAAGGAAATAGCAAAGCAGTTGCACGTACCTTGACGCGCGAAAAGGTATCTTCGACATTCGTAGAGGACCCAACAGTGATATGCCAAATGCGTAAAGTCGCATCTTGCGACCCACTAGCCAGAAAGATGTCATGTTTCGAATCACAGCCATCGGGAAGTTGCAAAAAGTCAAGGCACCGAACCCAATCGAGGTGGCCAGCAAGCGTGGAGCAACAAGTCATCATCTGATTCATCGCGTCAGAGCCAGCTTCCGAGGGACAAGAATGCCGGATGGCCGCCGAATAAAGCCTAACGAGGCCTGTGTCAAGCCCCAGGGCTAAGAGCTGCACGGTACAAGTGGGGCCTGGGATCAAGATTGATCTTAGGGCCAAAGTGAAAGCGGGTTGGGTGCCGATGATGAAGGTGGGAGCTGGGGATTCCTCTGTGGACTGGAGGTGCCAGACGAAGGTGGTAGTGTCACAAGTGGCACAGACTATCAAGCACGGCTAAAAAATAATAGTTAAAGGTGGGCAGGACAAGAGTTACTTGTGCATCACCGCACATTTATCATTGGGACAGCAATTAAACAGTGGGCATTCTATTGCGGGCACAAGTCCCAGCCCGATACCGAAACGAAATAGGGACACACTCCAAAGGCAGCATAATAAAATGTAAAATTTATAAGATACGAATGCAAGGCACAGCAGAATTAGGTAGAAAAGTAAAAAGAATATCTGTTTAAAGCCATGGAGTACAAAGTGACCCTATGCGTAACTTCAAAACTCAGTGAACGTAGCCTTTGCATCATGAAATTGGACATGACA